TAATCTCCAAAAATTTATAACAAATTTCACTTTTTTTCTATTTCTTACGTTTCCTTTGCCTTCTATTTAATTCCACACATTAATTTAATTCAATTAGCTTTTATTATTTTCATTTTCTTGCTTACTATTTATCACATGTATTGACTTCACCTTTGTTGTTGTTTTCGTTGCCTTTGCCATTGATTGTGACAATTTTTAAATCAATTTTATTTTTTTAATTTTTTTTTGGCTGGTGAAACTTTATATTACCCGTTTTTTTCTTTTTGTTGTTGTTTTATTTAGACAACACTCCACAAAACAACCGCTATCCGTGCCGTAACGTTTACCATTTCGTTCGTCTCTCTCGAATAGCCGCCGCCGCAACACTAAAGAATCAAACACGAGCTAAGGCCAAGTTAAGATGTTACGGCCTGTTGTTTGCATTTGTTTTTGTTGTTATTCTCATCGGTTGTTTTCTTGTTTTTGGTTGCAGGAAGTGAGTGAGCGACTGAGTATGAGATAGAGAGCGAGAGGGAGAGCACCTAACGGAAAGAGTTATGGTTGTGTTGATTGAAAGGCTAGGGAGCACAAGAATAACGGCAGCATAAGACGTTGAAATGAGCATTACAGGGTGATTCACACAAAAATATTTTCTTGTGTTAATAAACTTGGGGGCCATTTTAAATAATTTTTTAGCGGAAAAGGAAGTTTAAATTATAGAAAAAATAGGGCATTAAAATTCAACGGGCCAATGAAGAAAATTATTAGCTTTAAAATGTGTTAAATGATGGTCAAAATCAAATTAAAAAAATGGTAAAAATGTTCTCGATTTTACATTTTGAAGATTTTCATTGGGCTGGTAAATGAATACGAATGCATGTTAAGGTTTGTAATGTTACACATATATAATTAAAGATTTAAAAGAGAAGAAAAATAATTTGCAAAATTTGGTTGTTGTTGTTGTTACATATTCCGTATGTCGTCGTCGTTGTCGACGACGTTTCTCTTTCGACATCACTTCGCATCGACATCGACATCACTTCGACACTGATTTGGTATTCTGTAACACTCATGCGACGATGTCGACTATTTATCGATAATATCAATAAAAACAAAAATTTTGTTGCATATTTTTGGGCAAAAATGTGTTTGTATCCTTCACCGCACTGTGGCACAGGGCATTATGTCTTGGTAAATGTGTTTGCAACGACCAAAAAGAAACGAGATAGACCCATAGTTACTTTTTAGTATATAGTATGTACATAGAATTATTTTTCAGTCGATTTATGTATGTCCCTCCATTCATGTATTATTTTAAACAAGTTACATGCCACCATTATGATCCGAACGGGATGAAATTTGGAAAAAATCCATCCAATTGGGATGAAATTTTATTTCCACATAGACGAGTCCTATTGACATTGGTCAAAATCGGTTTAGATTTATATATAGATCCCATATATTTTTCTTTATTTACACTTTATTTTGCATTAAGTATTGAATAGATTCTAGAATGATGTATCCTTTTCTTGTCCGGTCATGTTTTTTTTTTTTTTTTTTAATTTAAAAAAAAAAAAAAAAAAAAAATGTTCAAACGCTTCAGTCGTCAACAAAAACTATGACGAAGAAATCTTCGACATCGTCGTCGTCACACATTGTTACGGAATACCAAAAATGTTTCAATAGTTATCGATAAATGTCGACAACGACATAGGGAATACCAATTTGCAAAAGACGACTCTCTTCGACGTCGTTTCGCGTCGACGACATGTGACGGGGTCATTACAAGGGGACTACATAAAAATATGGACCTATGTTGAAACTGCGATTGAAAAATGTTCATATGCCACATATGAGCCGGCAACGTTATATAGTGAAAAATAACTTTCCGATTATATAGAAACTGTATCATATAAACCAATTCCAAGTTGGTTGGCTCGGTAAATTATTCATCAAGTAAAAAAATCGTTCGATCTTTGTATACACTCCACCATGAGGTCGAAATTCAACTACAACTAATACCATAGACAGACGACAGCCTTAATTTGCATTAAAAATTTCTTAATTTGAATTAATATTTACCCCTGAAAATATGAGAGTTTCCATTTATGAAACAGTTTTTTGCTTCAAAACGATTGTTTGTCTGTGTGTAGAATGAAATTTGTTTACATTTGTTTCGATATATTTCGGGATTACATCTTTAGGAAATAGATCCATGACATAAAGGAGGAATAACAACTATGATCTTAGCAAAACAGCTTCAAATTTAAAAAAAGGGTTGAAATTTGCCTTCATTTCTTATTTTTATTTTCATAAATATAAATAAATTTGACAAGAAACAATTAATTTTCGACAGCATTGCCATATTGAAATTGCCTAATTCAGTATAAATTCAGTTTGATTTTGTGCATTAACAACACATAAAAATGAGGATAATGTACAAGTTAATTTGAATTAAGGCTGTTAATGCAAATTAAGGCTGTCGTCTGTCTAGGCTATAACACTCCGGTAGGATGAGGACCTTTAACATACAGAAAATGACAGGTTACTTACTTAATTATCTGGCTTGTGACAGAACATTTGTTCCATAACCCGAACTTAAAAAAGGTACCCAATTTGAAAGACCATGCTCCGAGATGTTGTCTTCCACTTGCTTTTTCCACCGAATTCGTGGCCTTCCCCTTCTACGTGATCCATCAGTTGGCTCGCTTTTATATGACTTTTGAGCTGGGGCATCCTCATCCATTCTCACAACATGACCTAGCCAACGTAGTCGCTGCAGCTCGATACGTCTGACTTCGTCGATTTCCGAAAATAGATGGTATAACTCATGGATCGACCCATAGATCTTTCGGGAAAATTTTTCTCTCAAACACTCCAAGAGTTGCCTCATCTGATTGCGCAAGTACCCATCCTTCTGATCCACACAACAGAACGGGTAGTATCAACGTCTTGTAGACGCTCGTTCGGCATTAAGCGGTTTTGGCGCAGACCGAAAATCTGGTCAATGGAGACTTATTCCTCTATAGTTGGCACATATTGTATAGCCTCCTTTGTTGTGCACAGGACACAGAATGCTGAGGTTCCAATCGTTGGGCATGCATTCCTCTAGCCAAATTGTACTAATCAGCTGGTGCATGCTACTGACCAGCATCTGACAACCAGTCTTGACCTCATCTTAGCTAGGTGGTATACACTCTATACCATCATCTCTTATTGGTTCTGCAGTATCTTCTTCACGGCCATTATTTGATATCAGAAGCTTTGCAAAATGCTCCTTCCAGATCCTCAACACGCTGTCTATATCTGTCACAAGGTTTCCTTCTTTATCTCTCCAAGAGGATGTGTCTGCACCAAAGCCTGTGATACGCCGATTTTGATCTCGCGGTGTTTTTTTCGATTTTCGACCTAGGAATTTCACAAATGCATGTCTACCATTGAAATAGTTACCAAGCCAGCCGTTGGCATCATTGGGCAATATAGAGTTCATGATATTACTAAACAAAATCGAGTGACATTCTCCTATGTCGACTGTTGAATTTTGCAATGCTTTTGGGCGCGAACAAATGAGCCTGCTTTCGAATTACGGATATATTATTTTTATGGAATTTGTTAGGTTTTCTATTTTTTTTTTGGTGCTCACTGCATTATCTTCGGGCTCATTTCCAAATAAGCGTTCTGGAAACTCGTTATAAGTCAAAATTCCTTTAATTCACTTGTTTGAATATTCAAATAATGGTCCACTGAAATAATTCCCTACTTAAAAAAGCCACAATTTTCTTTCAATAGATAATTTATCCTCTGAAATATTGAGAACTGTATCGACATTCTTTAGTAGTTATATCTTCGAATTAAATACAAATAAAAAATCCCTTTTTGGGCGATCGAGAATGGAGGCTGCATTTAAAGATTGTGAACTTCATCGTGATTTCAACAGACGGACATGACTATACCGACATCGAATTTGGCGCTGGTAATGCATTTAATTTTCAGTATAATCGCTTATTTGCTGCAAGACTGGCATAAATCAAAATAATTGATTTTGTAGAAAGTCTGATATACCGAACAATCCTGCATCATTAACTCAAAAATTACAATTTATGCTGAACTTATAGGAAATGAGCGATATGGTCCTAAACTAAATCAAAAATTATTTCTCATACAACAGCAACGGTGTTAATATGAACTCGAAACAATTATTATGTATATATATTATTATTAACTCATATCCATACAATTTATTTTTTTGTTTGTTTAGATTAATAGATAAATATGATCAAAAGATAAAACAATTATTTACGATTTGTTTTTATTGTTTTAACTCAATCTCAAAATTTGTTTTTATTATTATTATAATTACTCTTTTATTTATTCCTTTTAAACGAGCAAATGAGTGAATTGAAAGGGCTCAGATGGAGAGAGAGAGAGTTGTGGGATGTCGGGGCGCGATCGCAGTTTTGGGTTTCTTTGAAATTGTGTGTGTGAGTGTTGTTTGTATTATCGTCTATATTTTCTTTATTAATATGTGTGTGTGTTCTTTGCTACATATTATTAAACTATAACTATATAATTTTCTTCATTCTCATCATCATCATCATCTGATTCGTAAAAATCAAGATGTCCTTTTGAATCATCATGTGGCGGGCAGACAGGCCAGCCAGCCAAGTTAGTTTCTTTTTTTAAATAAAGGGAAACAAATTAAAAAAATGGGGGAAGTAGAGAGACATTTGAACTAAAAACAAACATATTTAATTATAATTATCATCATCGTAAGAAGAAGAAGAAGAGTTGAAGTAGAATGGAAGAGTAGTTTGGTTGAGCCATTATTTTTTCTAGTTTTTCTTTTCACTCGATTCACTCATTTGATGTTTAAAACAAACAAACAAATTAAAAGTTCGAAGAAACATACATCATTATATATTATTATTTTGTTTTTTTTTTTATAATTATAATTATTATTATTTTTTTTAATGTTCGATTAATGTATATAGTTAAAAACTACTTGAGAAATCTTCTATATGGTTGTTGTTTTTGTTGTTGTTGTAAGCTGGAAAGTAAAAGTGGTGGTGGTGGTGGTCGCGGGAGTATGGTAAGAGTGGGAAGATTAGAAGAGGGAGGTGGTGGTGGTTGTTGTTGCTTTAAACTATTAGGCCTTATCTAGTCATCCACAATCGAACACACATATTTGGAAATTAATTCAAAATCATCACGGCCACCAGAGGGACGTGTTTGAGAATTTAGGCTTTGTTGCTGCTGTTGTTGCTGTTGTTGATTTGTAGTGGAGCGCCATGCCTGCTGCTGATTGGCATTGGCGTTCGACGAGTTGTTGGCGGCAACATTGGTATTGTTTGTGGCAACATTTGCGGTATTTTGTGTATTTGCATTCGGATGAGAATTGTGATTCGATGGCTGATTACCATTTTGCCCGGAATTATTAATACCATTGTTGACCGCATTGGCGTTTGAGGAATTATTTGACGAAGTATTTGATTGAGGATTAACGTTATTACCACCCGCTGATGTGGGGTTTTGTGAACCTGAGGCATTGTTAACGTTATTGACATTATTGGCATTTGTATTTGAGCTGCCTCCGCCACCACCCGGATTGTTCATGCCGCCGCCGCCGGCATTGTTATGGCTTGAGTTTGGTCCACCACCGCCCTGTTGTTGTGCATGCTGTTGTGTGGCAGTAGCATTGGTATTTTGCTGGGGCAAATGGTGCAAGATCGTGTGGACCTCATTTTCGCTGGGCGATTCGGCAATAATTGTCGTATTGCCCAAAAAGCAGTTGTTCAAAGTCATTTGTGCTTTACTGGCTTCCTCGCGTGTGGCATATTTGCACAAGGCAATACCTTGATTTAAATACAGATGGAAATTTTGTAAAGGTCCGTGCTGCATGCACAAAGTACGTAATGTAGAGCTATCAATCTGTAGAACAAAGAAAAAAACAATATGTTAGTAATCTTGTTTGATCATGAGCATTTTGTAGATTCAAAAAACCCTACCTGCGCAGTTAAATTTTTAAGTAATAACCAATTTGAGTTCCAATTCGAATTTGATCCCGACCAACCACCTGTTGTTCGTACGCTATTACCGCCCGTTAGCCAGCCTCCGGCATTACTGGGATTACCCACATTTGGCATGCCCACACCAGATTTGTTCGAGCCCAATCCTGGCGGTGGACCGCGTGATGTTTTATTCATTGATGACCATATTTCTTGTTGGGTCGTGTCAGACCAACTTCAGGCAAAAAAAAATCGAAAATAAAAAACAAAACAATTTTAGAAATTTGTTTGGAAACATTTCCTCCTAGTCCTTACCTTTGGAAATTTTGATTATTGTTTGGGGGATTAAAGCTCCATGTCGATGACGTTGTTAGACCTAACGTTGGTAAATCAGTCGGTGAATTTTTGCTCGTTGCATTGGCAAAAATATCAGCATCTTTTGGCGTTGCATTTATAGCCAATGGAGATCTAGCTACACTGCCGGGAGTTATACTGGGGTCATCTTCAATACTTTTTATCTGCGAACCCTTAAATTAGATAATGTATACATACAAAATTCTCTAAAAACTAGAAAATGGAATCAATTTCGGTGTCGGAGAGCAAAAAAAAAAAAAATTATACAGAGACTGTGAGAGAGACAGAGAGAGATAGAAAGGTACTGTGGAAGGGAAATGTGCCTTTCTTTTGGACTTGTTTTTTATCGAACACAAAACGGTTAATGTATAAATAAGGATATCACAGGGGATTTTGAAAATTTCTTTTGTTTTGAATACCACGACTTGTTTTTAAGTTTTGCCAAATTGTTGTTGTTGCAAAAAAGAACATCGCATTTAAAAGTTAACAAATTTTGAATACCAATCGTAGTAACATTTGCAGTTGTTGTTGTTTTTGGTTTTCGGGGTTTTGGTTTTGTAATAATACTTTTGGTAGTAGGCATGTATAGAAAGGATTATTAATAACAAAATTAAATTGGTATGCGTTTTTGATCAGTTTGTAAAGTGAATTATGTTTGGTTTTGATTGGTTTTGTTGTTGTCCTTGTTTTTAATTCCATTTCCTGGTTTTGTTGTAATATTTTTACCTTCCAGGGCTTTCCAGGCTCAAACTCCTGTACTAAATCGGTGTACGCAGTTGCAGCTGAAGGATGTCCAACTGACCAGTCTTTATTCTCACTATCATTTGTGTGGTCTGGCCAGCCATCGTTAATATTGCGCCCAGTTGACCATGTCCTAGTAAAGATAATGAAAAATTAATCATTTAAAACTTAAAAAGAAATTTTCCGCTTACCCATCACTTTGCAGACCCAAAGGTCCCATATTAGTTGCATTAGTTGTCGTTAAACCGCCGCTACCCTGTTTGGTAGCGCCAGGTGCGCGAGAGAAATCTGTACTATCCGTTGTCATATCTTTATCTGATACTGGAAGCTTCCATTGGTTCAATCTAGACTGTTGATTGGGTGCGCCTTGATAACCAGCAGACTGTGGAGAATTTAAAGAAAAAGAAGAACATATAATTTTGAAATAATAACCAATTTGAGTTGCAATTCGACAACAACCACCAGCATTACCGTGGGATTGCCCAAATTTAAGATCAGAAGATCTTCTCTAAAAAAATCCATTGGTATTCAGTGGTCTTTTGTAGAACCTTCTGGTTCGCTATAAAACCTATTGGTCTTCTATAAGAAATTTTGGTATTCTATAAGACCTTTTGGTCTTCTATAAGACCTTTGAGCCTTCTATAAGACATTTTGGTCTTCTATAAGACCTTTTTATTTTCTATAAGACCTCTCCTACGAAACGTTCTGGTCTTCTATAAGACCTTTTGTTTTCTATAAGACCTTTTGCACTTCTATAGACGTTCAGGTCTTTTACAGACCTTCTAGTCTTCTATAAGATCTTTCTTTAACCTTTTGGTATTCTATAAGACATTTCGGTCTTTCATGTGACGTTCTGGTCCTCCATAAACCTTTCTATGTAACGTTTAATCTTCTATATGAGATTTTATTCTTCTAAAATACCGTCTAGTCTTCTATAAGACCTTTTGATTTTCCATACGACCTTCTGGTCTTCGATAAGACCTTTTCTTCTTCTACAAGACCTTTTGATCTTCCAAAAAACCTTCTTGTCTTCTATAATACCTTTTGGTCTTCAACGAGACAATTCGATCTATTTTACGAGACCTTATGGTCTTCTATAGACGTTCTAGTCTCCTATAAGACATTGTGGTCTTCTATAATACCTTCCCGTCTCCTATACGATTTTGGACTTTCATAAGAACTTCTGGTCTTTAATAACAACTTCTGGTCTGATCCATAAGAACTTCTGGTCTGATGCTAGACATTCTGGTATTCTATGAGACTTTCAGGTATCCTACAGACTTTTTGGTCCTTTACAAGCCATTCTGGTCTTCTTACGATCTTCTGGTGGCATAAAAGGCTTTTTGACCAACTTCTGGTCGTGTCTTCTATAAAAGGCTTTTTTTAGGCTTTTTGATCAACTTCCAATTATACGACTTCTAAGAAGGTGATCTGGTTTTCTTTTAGAAGAAATGCTAATATTTGGGTCTTTGAAATACTGCCGAACAATGTATAAAATTCTAAATTTTATAGCATCTCGAGATCTTGAGCAAAACAATTTCCATTTCAACTTACCTTGTTTAAGTTCATTTCTGAGAAATTTCCCTGTAAAGCTGTCATGGAATCATGGCTTCTTAAATATTCGTTATTTGTATTATTGATATGCGCTGCAGCCGGATGTGGGTTCGGTTGTAAAGCTTGCTGTTGTTTTATGTATATTGCTTGTTGTGCATTTATTTGGTTTTGTAGATTTTGTATTTGTTGCTTATATTTGGCAATGGCAAGCAGAGTATTACCATTATTTCCACTACGTGCTAACGATTGCTGGGCCCCTTGAAGATGCTATGAACACGAACAAAAAGACAACAATAAAAACAATTTTCAATTTTCATTCCATGTAATTATCAATTCCAATATTTTTCCTTACCTTAATATTGCTAAGTAATTGATTAAGGAGTAAAAGTGTGGTGGGAGCCAATGGCTGATTCAATATTTGGCTGGACAAGTAGCCACTATGCACGGCCAGTTGGATTTGTTGTACCAACATGCGTAGCTGCTGTGTTGACGGTTGATTCGTGCTGCTCGATACAGCGGCAGCGGCAGCATTAACAGCGGCCACATTCGAGCCCTGGCCAAAAGCTACAGCAGGATTGACAGTTGGTGGCCCAGCGGCACCGACATTGTGTGGACCTTGATTAAGGTACTTTTGCACTTGTAAGGGTTGTTGCATTGCATTGAGGGCATTCAGTTGGGGATTATTGCCGCCAGCACCGACGGCACCTCCACCCATTGAGTTTAAGAGATTGTTCTGTGTGTGGAAAAAAAATTATTGCATTAGTGTGAGTGTTCGTTCCCATTAACGTTCCCAATAATCGCAAATACTTACCGGAGGGAATGACATCGCAGGTTGTGTAGCAGCTGATGCATAACGACCAGGAAATGCGCCACCACCAGCACTAGCAGCTGAGTTATGATCCGCATAGGAACCAAGAGTATCATCGTGACGTCTCCAATTATCCATGCCACCAGTCATACCACTAACCATCGATAGATTTGATCTTAACATTTCGTTTGCTTCGTCTAAATTCATATTGGCAGAGATAAGAGCTCGTTCCACGTCTTCCTTCTTGAAACCCGCTTCCACAAGCATTCGGTATTGTTTACTTTGCTTGATCAGCTCCGTATTAATACCCCCCAGATTGACACCGGCTGTGCCAAGTTTTTGTTGTTGTTGAGCTTTACTCATAATTGAGTTGTGGGCAGCAGCTGCTGCTGACCAATCGTTTGGATTCAAATCGTTGCCATCGCCTGCACCACCAGTGCCAGTGCCACCAACACTGCCCCAGCCTCCGGCTGTATTGGCATTAGGTAATTTGGCCTGATTTGGTTTGTTCCAAGCAGATGTATTTGGTGGTTCGTTCCAAGAGTTCCCTGTTTGTCCCATGCCGCCAATTTGATTGGACTTGTCATCACCCCAGTTACCGGCGCCCGTCCCGCTAACACCCGAACCGGAGCCGCCGACTACATTGTGATTTTCAACATCTCCCCAACCGCCAGTGTTGCGGTTGCCACCCACACCGGCCGAGGAGACATTTGGAGGGCCAGTGGGATGAGACCACATGCCATTGTCAGGTTTGTGGGGACCACCCACGCCGCCCGGACCGCCTATGGCCGACACGAGGCGAGCGCCAGGCGGGCCAACGGCACCAACGCCCATTGTGTTGTTAGGATTTCCGGGAGCACCAAGACCACCGGCCCCGGTACCAGTTCCACCAGCTCCACCTAAACCGGACACTATGCTAGCATTGGGAGCATTTTGTACACCAAGAGCGTTGCGCATCAAATGGTTGCGGGGATTGAGAGGATCGGAGACATCCTTCCAGTGTGAACCACCGCCACCGATACCCACACCGCCGGGTACACGCGACTGTGTACCCCACAAAGAGGTGCCGTCATCATAGTTAGGTATATTGCGACGTTGTGGCGGCGGTGAGGGTTCTTCCCAACCGGAACCACCACCCGGTGGCTTAGGGGCCATTGAACCAACCATATCCTTAGCTCCGCCGACCACCGACTGGGGCGGACCACCCCATTGAGAGCCAACCACATTACCAGCCGCATTCAAACCGCCAACAGTGCTAGGTCCTGCCAGACTATTGGCATTGGGCACGCCACCGACGGTTCCAGCGCCACCAACATTTGGCCCACCCACACCCATTTTATTGAGTCCAGGCATTTGGTGTTGAGCGATGGGATGATGTTGACCCCACATTTCCGAGGTGCCATTGAGGCGACCCGAAATGCCGCGCGGATCACCGCGTATGGGATCGCGGGGATCGAGCATGCGCATATCACGTGGATCACCAGCCGATCCGGCGCGCATTGGATCACGCGGATCAACCGAACGAATATCTAATGGCCCTCCAGCTCCCATGGGTCCACCACGAGGATCACCCCAACCGTTGCCAGCTCCGCCAGCACCTCCAGGTGTACCAGGCACATTGACGCCAACAGCATTCGAAGCACCTAGAGAGAAAGGGAAGTGATAAAGAAAAATATTTAAATGTAAAAGGGGGTCCTCTTACCTCCAGGTGTAACACCCGTGATAGCACCAGGAGCTGTCACATTCGATTGTACACCAGCCCCGGATACACCGACACCCACACCACCTTGACCCCATTGCGGGCCATTGGACGGACCGGCGCCACCGGTACCGGCTGCTACACCGGCCACTCCAACCACAGCTCCAGTTGATCCGGCCGGTCCACCCGTCCATACATTACTGGTATCGTTGCAATCATCATCCTCACCCCAGGTGCCACCCAAATTTGTCGATGGCGTATGACCCCAGGGCGTTTTCTGTACAGGCTGTTGCGACGGCTGACCGCCATTGCGCAAATTGGATTCCCACAAATCGGTGCCATTGTTTACGGTCGGCTTCCACATCGGCGATCCCGAGGGATCTTTATTTGTGGGCTCCGGCGAGCTTGGCACTTCCCAGTTCGTATCCTGATTGACATGCTGGCAACCCCATCCATCCTGAGAAAATAGAGCCTCACGCATTGTGTGTAATTGCTCTAATTGATTTTTTGCTGCTGCAGCCGAAGTACCGCCACCTACTAAGCCGGCAATGTGATCGGCATTAGCATGACCACTATTATTACTGATGATGATGTTATTACTGTGATTACTGAATAAAATATATTTATTTCACAATGGGTTTGTGGTTGCTCGCTAGCTGCTGCCGCGCTGCTATCGTCGCTGTGGCTGCTGCTGTTACTACTGGCTGCTGTTGTTCTTCTTCTTACTACCACCTGCTGCTGCTGCGGAAAATCCTGTTGTTGATTGATTTTATTTGATAATTGCTGCCTTTATTACTCGCACAGATAAATTGTTGTTTGATTTGATTTGTTTATTTGTTTTTGTTTAAGAGATATTGTGCTTAACGCTGCAATGTTGTCTTAGTATTGTTCTTGAGATTTGCATCGGCTTTTTCTAAAACTGTAACTTTGATCGTCCTAAAATTAGAAAAAATAAGAAAATTATTAATAAAATGGACCATTGACAAGGATTTTGATCTTCTTCTTCAAAGTTTTAAGCAATCCGTGCATAAATCTGGTGGAAATTTCTGCAAATCGGTATGTCCGATTTGGGTCAAATATGCACCGTTTTGTTGTATGATTTGTTAGTCATTTTAAAGGTAACTTCATAATGTCTCTCTCATAGAAGTTTAAGCAATCCATGAACAAATCTTGTGGAAATTTCTGCAAATCGGAATGTCCGATTTGGGCTTAATATGCACCGTTTTGTTGTATGATTTGTTAGTCATTTTAAAGGTAACTTCATAATGTCTCTCTCATAGAAGTTCTGCTCTTTATTTGCAAAAAACTCTTGGCCTAGGCTTTGCAGATTGAAATTCGATCCATCCTATTTATACCCTTCACCACTCTGTGGTACATGGTATTATGTCTTTGTGCATATGTTTGTAACAGGCAACGAAGGAAACAAGATAGACCCATGGTTCCTTTTGAGAATATGCATAGAATCACTTTCTGAGCCGATTTATTCATGTTCGTCCGTCCGTTGATGATAAATTGTAAACAAAGTACAGGTCGCATTTATCATCCGATTTAAATGAAATTTGGCGCAGCTCATTTATTTGGCCCAAGGACGAACCCTATTGGAAAATCGGTTCAGATTTAGATATATCTTTCGATTTTTAAGTCTGAAATGATGTGTGTTAAATTTTATGAATATCGATTCAGATTTAGATATAGCTCCCATATATATTTTCATCCGATTTAATGTAAATGGTGAACCAAAAACCCTATATATCTTTCGATTTGCACGAAATTTGGCTTATCGTACGGAATTAAGTCTGGAATGCTGTGTGGTAAGTTTCGTGAAATTCGGCTTAGATTTAAATATAGCTCACATATATATTTTCGTCCGATTTAATGTAAATGGTGAACCAAAGCCCCATATAACTTTCGATTTGCAGGTAATTTGGTACAACGCACTGAATTAAGTCTAGAATGATGTGCTTTAAGTTTCGTGAATATTGATTCAGATTTAGATATAGTTCCCATATATAATTTCGTCCGATTTATGGTAAATGGTACATCCAAGCCCCTTTATATCCTTTGATTTGCACGAAATTTGGCATAGCGTACTGAATTAAGTCTGAAATTCGGTTTAGATTTAAATATAGATCACATATATATTTTCGTCCGATTTAATGTAAATGGTGAACCAAAGCCCCATATATCTTTCGATTTGCACGAAATTTGATATAGCGCATTGAATTAAGTCTAGAATGATGTACGTTAAGTTTCGTGAAAATTGGTTCAGATTTAGATATAGCTCCCATATATATTTTCGTGCGATTTAATGTAAATGGCGCACCAAAGCCCCTATATATCTTCCGATATGCACGAAATTTGGCATAGCATACTAAACTAAGTCTAGAATGACGTACGTGAAGTTTCATGAAAATCGGTTCAAATTTAGATATAGCTCTCATATATATTTTCGTCGGATTTGTGTTAAATGGTGCACCAAAGTTCTTATATGTCTTTCGTTCAATTTCATGTCAATGTTCTTTCGAAAAGGCGACGACGTCTGTTAGGAGACTATGAAGAATATACTCAAAGTGTTGAAGGGTATGATATAGTCGGTCCAGTCTGACTTAACTACTTTCCTTACAGGTTTTTTTCTTCTTCTGTTAAGTGGTGTGGCACCCAAACATCGAGCTTTTTTTGAATCCATCTTTGTGTAAATGGTTTAAAACAGTTTTATGATCGATTTTTAGCTCCAGCTACCATGCCGATCAACTTCGATAATTTCTCCGATTTTATTGACATTTTCGACACAAGTGTTTTTTTTTACATTTTTTACCTGTTATTCTTCAATAACGCATTAAACGCACACGTGAAATCACAAGTTTTTTAAAATAACTGTATCTATTACTATTTTTAAGGCACAGGGAAGAACAATACTGAAGTTTTGCAAAGCAATGCTGCTGTTGAAAGCCAAAGAACAAAATCTATGTTTGTCTAAAGACCACCACTACAAATATAAGGAACATAATTTCAAATATTAATCCTTTTGTCAAATTTATGCGCCGAATCGTTTAATTATTAATATTTGTATTTCCTGTCCGACAACAACTTTTGTTTTCCAAATATATTTCGCTCTTCTTCGAAAATGTTGAAATAAAAAACTGAAAGTATATCATTACACAGGACAATATTTGTGGTAGAAATGAAAGAAATTGTTATTTTGGCGGATAACAAGACAGACAGTCAAGTCAAAGAGAGAGAGATTGGCAAATAATGTAGGCGGAGCTATTTCTTCATTACATGTACACTCGGAATAGGCTGAATTCATTGGAAACGATGGTATTTGGAAGGATAAATAATAAATCAATTAAAAGTCCCTTGTCCTGATACACATAGAGGATTTAAATAAAAAATCCAAAAAATTGTATTTAATTAAAAAAATATAGATATATTAAAAATGTATCCGATTTGTGCTAGAAGCTCTTGGTGGCAACGAAAGATCTTCTTAAACATCAGGGGGACACTGACTTGTGTCCATACTGACAAAAATCTACATATTAAACTTTGATACGCATTCATTTAGAAAGTGATCGCAGAAACCCAGAAAGAAGTCAAAACGCGATAAAATCCGGTGGGAAATTGTGTGACAGGACGTTTCTTGTATAATCTGAGAAAATTAATACAATACAACAAAGTAAATATGTTGTTATGATCGTCAGGGCCGGTCACTGTGGGACCGACATTTAAAAATCTGAAATCGCTAGGTACCTTAATTTAATATCCATTGTAGGAAGATTTGACACCAATGAGAAATAAATTACAAGCAATTGGTATAGAGAACGCGGGTAATAATCCTAATAATCCCAAATAATAGTCGGTACCGTTATATTAAGGCTATCGTAAAAAGTAGATCAAGATTTATGATTTGTGTAAGGAGATTTGTGAATTCAAAATACCAAATTGCAATCAATTCTGTGGAAAAGTGTGTCCATACTCTCCAAAATACCGGAATTTGGGGGTACCCTTATACGGGGCCTATCGTAAAAAGTGGTCCAATATTGATTGTTTTTGGTAGGAGGACGTGTTATTTAATGGGAACCAAAAATACTTATATGGGGGCTATCATAAAAAGTGGACCAATACTAATAGTTTTTTTGTATAGACTATCTGAGCCGTGAATTATAAAAAATATATTTTTCAAGGACAGGCGTAGATTTTTTTCTTTAAAAAAAACAAAGACCATGTGAGGCGTGGATTTCTAAAAGAATACTTTTTCAAAGACCATGAGAGACGTGAATTTTTAAAAGAATATTTTTTCAATGACTATTATTGGCGTGAATTTTTAAATGAATACTTTTTCAAGGTCCATGAGAGGCGTGGATTTTTTTAAAGAATATTATTTCAAGGACTATCGGATAAGTGGATTATTAAAGAATATTTTTTCAAGGACTCTCAATGGCGTGGATTTATTAAAGATTTTTTTTTTGTCAAAGACTATCAGAGGAGTGGATTATTAAAGAATATTTTTTGAAGGACTACCTGAGGCGAGGATTTATCAAAGAATACTTTTTCAAGGACCATGAGAGGCGTGGATTTTATAAAGAATATGTTTTCAAGGACCATGAGAGGCTTGAATTTTTTTAAAGAATATGTTTTCAAGGACCATGAGAGGCTTGAATTTTTTTAAAGAATATTTTTTCAGCGACCATATGAGGAGTGGATTTTTAAATATTTATTAAGGACTATCAGAGACGTGAATTTTAAAAAATATGTTTTAAAGACTATCAGAGGCGTTCATTTTAAAAAATATTTTTTCAAAGTCTATTATAGGCGTGGATTTAAAAAAAAAATATTTTTTCAAAGACTATCAAAGACGTGGATTATTAAAGAATATGTTTAAGGACGTGGATTATAAAAGATTAGTTTTTTCAAGGCCACGGATTATTATTGGAATAGTTTTTTTAATGACTATAAGAGGAATGGATTTTTTTCAGCATATATTTTTTGAAGAAAGTGTTCTAATAAAATTATCTGTATATATTTTTTAATTAAACTGCAATTGCAGTTTAGAATTAACCTCCTTATATGAATTAACAGCATAGTTTCATTCCCTGCACATACCTCATACATCACCAACAATCAACAACAAAATGTATCAAAAGGAAAATACACCACAACCCAAATATATCCCACCTCCCTAATTAAACACACACACAAAAAGCAATTGGACCAATAACCATCAACAAAATATTTCTCTCAGTGTGGTTCTACATAAAATAAATTTGTTTGTTCATCATCCTTCACGTTAGGGGTTGTTTTACCCACACCATAACTATCCCGATTTTAGCCAATAGGAATACGTTTTACTACAAGGATACGTTCGTTTTTCCAATGGGAATATAACAGGATTCGTTCGTTCTCTTCTCTTTTGGTTAACACAACTGACATATGAAGATGATGGATAGGGTACAACATTTCACACAAATATATAACAACAAACTATGAAACTACCACAATATGTTTTACGTACAATAACTCCCTCACACTCAGAAGGGGGAGGTGTATTTCCTCTGCCTCTCTCCCAGAAAATTCATTGGTTGTTGAGTTGTCGGATATTTTTCCATTTGATTGT